GCCTTGATAGTTTTCTGTCTTTGTTTTTTGCTCTACCTGGTTTAGGTATCAGTACTACATTTGTGTCATAGAAGGAATTTGGTAGGACTATTTCTTTACCTATTTTTTCAAATAATTTACGTAAAATTGAGATTAATTCTTTCTTAAATGGTTGGTAGAATTTACTTGTAAATCCATCTATTCCTGGGATTTTTTTCTTTGAGAGCTCATTTATAGCTTATTCAATTTCCTTTTTCTAGGATACGATTATTTAAGTATTTTATTTTTTCTTCTGTTAATCTGGGCAATTTGTATTTTGGCAAATATTCATCCATTTCTCTTAGATTGTTAGATTTACTGGAATGTAATTGAGCAAAATAACTAACTCCTAATAATTGTTTTAATTTCATCTATTGGTGGTGCATTCACCCTTTTCATTTTTGATATTGATAATTTGGTTTTCTTCTTTATTTTTTAAATCAAGTTAACCAATGGTTTATCAATTTCTACTTTTTTTATCAGTTCAATTTTTTTTTTTACTTTCAATTTAGTTAATCTCTCCTTTGATTTTCAGGCTTTCCAATTTGTTGTTTAATTGGTGATTTTTAATTTGTTCTTTTTCTAATTTTTTTATTACATGCCTAATTCATTGGTCTGCTCTTTTTTTTTTTTTACTATTAAGAACCAAAGTGATTTTTATTCAATAAATTAACCCATTAATTATTGGATTACAGGCTACAGATATTTGATAAGAAGAGTTTACTAGTCTTTAAATTCCTTCAGTCTTCTGATGGCAAATTTGACTGTGACTGCAGAGGTGGTATTGTAGGTCCATGCACCACCAGCTACTGTCTTCATACAGGATCTTCAATGCCAGATACCCACAGCCTGTCTCTTCATTTTGGTCTTGCCAGAGAAAGAGCAGGTACACTTGGCATGCAGGCTAATTTAAATTTTCTTCACCATTTTTCTGAGGGATGCGCCATAATGTGTTCCACATTTACCAACAATCTCAACCTTTTTGGTACATTTAGCCATGTTGCCAGTTGCTGAGCCAGAGCTCAGAGAGCTCTTTTTCTTTTTTGTTGATGTGTTCAGAGATATAAAGTTTCCCCTAAGTACAAATAAGACTGCATCGTAGAACTTTTGGTATATTGTTCAATTTATAGAGGAGAAACTGAGGACTAAAGTGATTTGCCTGAATATACAAAGCTAATTGGTAGGAGAACTGGGACTCTAACTCAGGTTTTCTAACTGCTAATCCAGAGTTCCTAATATACAATACTGCCACAGAAACAAGAAACTTAATGAAACCATCCAGCTTTAAGTGTTAATGTTCTTTGGGAATTCAGAACCTTATCTAGCAATTTTATACTTCCCTACTAAAAAAAAAAAGTAACATGAAGCAACCTCAGTTTGATATTGAAATTAGTTATATGAAAATAATATAAGTAACTCAGAGAAATTCAGGTGAGCAGGAAGACAAATTAGTTACTTCTGTGTCTCACAGAGAGATTTTATTAACAAACCTTGGGTAGCTTCTTAATTATTCTGTTAAGCTCCTAGTAGCAAGAAGTTTCTAGCTGCTGAAGGAGAGCATGTGTTAAATTTGTACTATGGGATAAATCCCTGCTGTAGGATTGAAACATTTCCACATTTTCCCACCACCTAGGAACTTTTTACCTCTCCCCTTCTAAAAGTACCAGTTTATTGAGATAATAATAGCGACAAAACCTCTATTCTGAAACTTTGTTAAGATCTGTTTGAATTTTAATTCAAAAAGCAAAATTCTGTCCTAAGGGACAAAATGTATTTTAAACTAGAGTTGTATTTGGTGAGAAGGATAAAATGTGCAAAAGGGAACTGTCATATTTAAATTCATTCCCAGACACTAGACAGAAATACCTATTAGGAGAGGAAAAAGTTTTCCTTCTTCAAGAGGATAGTAGAAAACTACCTATTTGGATTGATATGTTTTTCTTTATCCTATAATAAAGTTTTAGGAAAAGGTTAACTTTCAAAGAATAGAAAAGAAAAACGATGGTGGGGGTCACAAAGAGTCAGACATGACTAAAAATGACTGATCCCTTTTCTTAGCATAAACAGTCTAAGGAAAATAGTCAGTCAGTCATTCAACATCTATTTATTACCTCTTGGGCATTAGCCACTGTGGTAATTACTAGATACAAAGAGGAAAGGGCAGAAAATAGGTGGAAGGAAGAAAATGGCTTACACGTTGACCACAACAGTGTAAATGGAAAGAATGACAACAAAAAGGAAACTGAATCCTGTATAATTATGATGACTAAACTTGGTCTAAAAAAGAAGTCAGATCAACAAACATTTATTATGTACCTGCAGTATGCCAGGCACTGTGCTAAGCACTGGGGATACAAAGAATGACAAAAAAAAACAGTCTTTGCTCTCAGGGAGCTCTCAAACCAACAGAGAAAATAACATAAAAAGTTATTCGCAGGATAAATTGGAGATAATTTAAAGGAAGGCTCTAACATTAAGGATAGAAGTGACATTTGCTAAGACTTGAAAGATTCCAAGAAGTGGAAATGAGGAGGGAGAAGTGTGGGAAGCATTGAAGGTATAGGGGACAGGCAATGAAAAGGCTTGGACTCACAAGATGGAATGTCTTTGGGAGGAATAGCAATAGAGTTCATGGAGTAATGTAAGTTGTAAGAAGACTGGAAAGGTGGGAAGGAGTCAGCTTTGAAAGAACATCAAATGCCAAAGAGAAAATCTTATATCCTGAAAGTAATAGGACGTTACTGGAGTTTATTGAATAGGGGTGTGTGACATGTAGACATGCATTTTAGGAAAATCAACTTAACAGCTGAGTGGAAGATGGATTGGAATAAGGAGAAACTTGAGGCAAGGATACTGGACAGTAGGCTATTGCAATAGACCAGACATGAAGTTATTAGAGCCTGAACTATAGTTGTGTCAGTGTCAGAGAGAAAAAAAAAAGCTTACAGTGGCCAAAGCCTGACAACAAACTAGGGCTTTTGATACCAAGCTTTCCTAAAGTCTCAGAACCAAGAATAAGCTCTAGGAAAGGATCTGAATTCAAGATAAGGATTTAGAAAGAATTTTAAAGAAGTAGTCAGCATCAGGTAGTAGTTTATAACTATATATATATATATATATATATATATATATACACACACACACAACACACACACACACACACACACACACACACATATACATGTATACACCATCTTGTACCTATGCCGCTTTATATCTTATCTATACCACTATACCATTGCTGGGATAAAATGCAGACTCCTCTATTTGTCATTTAAAACCCTTCACAACCTGTCTCCAACCTATTTTTCTAAATTGATTCCATATTCAGTCATTCCATTGTTAGATACATTGGCCTACTTGAATTTCTCCCAAACCAGATTCTATCTACCATCTCTGCATCCTTATGCTGGCTGTCCCCTACCATGGTGCAAATGTTCTCTTTCCTCACTTTTGCTTTTTGAAATCCCTACCTACCTAGAAGTTTCAATTCAAATGTCCACAAAAGGACTTTCTTTACTCCCCATTTGTTAGCCCTTTCTCCATCCACTCCTGTACATTGTTTTGTATTTATTTGTATTTTGTTTGTCTGTGTATGTGTTGTTTTCCCCCAGTAGAATGTAAGATCCCCGAAAGCTGGGACTGTTCTGTTTTTGTCTTTATATCTCAAGTACTGGGCACAGTGCTTGGCATGCTTTAAGTGCTTCTACTAAATGCTTCTTGTTAAATAACTGTCAAAGAATTTAGGGGAGTCATTTATTCTCTCTTGCCCACATTTTTTCTTATTTATAAATTAAGAACAATTGTCTTGTATACTCACAAAACCATTTAGTGATTAAATAATATCTGCATGTAAAGGTGAATGAAAACAGTAAAGTACTATAAAATATGAAGTATTATTAAACTATGGGACATTGTTTACTTTATATTTTTTCCTTAAACAAAGTACATAGTAATATGATTGGCATAAAGCTAGCTAATTTTTTTTATTTTTAAAATGGGAAATGAAATGTCATTCAAAATCTCAACTTATTTCATCTTTTGCTTAGTACAAATCACTCCTCTTTCTTCTGACAGAGGTATACCTTAATTACTGGTTCAGTTCACTTGCCTCATTCTCGTGGATTCCCAAGTTTAAAGTGTTCACAGGATACAGTTCACTATATCAAAAATAAGCTTTCTCAAAACCAGAGTCTCCAGGGCTGAGGTCACCACCACTCTCTCACACATTTATTGATAATACCTGAGCCATACTTAGAGGATTTTTTTTTTTCCTGCTCAGACATTCAGCACTTTTCTCTCTGGGTCCACATACTTAACTACCAAAGAAGGGGCTCAAACATTTTTCAGCCATTCTCCAAGTTCTAACTGGGTGTCTTCAGGGACCTTGTGTACAGGCTCACAAAGAGAGACAGGCCTTAGAGTTTACATTCTAACCTGTAGGGCATGACACATTTCCCAAGTGACAAGATGTGTTAAATAGCCCCTATAGTCTCTAATAGAAGTATATTTTTCTTTTTTTTCACATTTCTAACAGCCTAGGCATGGTCAATATTTCAAACACATAAATGAACATGTAATTGAGTATATAGTCTCAAACAATGATTATGGCTGCCTATAGTGGTTACTACAGGTTCTTCCTTGTGACATGCTTTCTGGTCACTTGTTACAGTGTATAATCACTAAATCACACTTTCCTCAGGCTTACAGAATTTGCAAAAGGCCACCTTGTCTACATTTCTACCTCTTATAAGGATTATGTCCTGCCCAGCTCAGAAACTGATGAAAATTTTTCCTATTCTGAATCATCTCCAGAGTAATTCCCTACTGTTGGTCATCAGTCCCACATCTGACAGTTTTGTCTGTATGAAACATCTATCTTATGCCATATACAACTACAAAATCTCTCTCCCCTAGAGAAACAAGAGAGATCACTTAAATATCCCACCATCCTCAAATGAAATGCTTAAGGATGAACTTACCTGTTGTAGGTTTAGCTGTGCGCACTGGGGTATAGTGGTTTTTTGAGGAAGATCTGACTGGTGTGTTTTCTTTGGGAGAGGTATCAATAGCTGAGATAGTCTCTCTTTCACAGTGTGCTATTGGAATTGGTCCCTGTTGCCTTAGGATGTCAGCCAGAGCTCTGAAACAACAGATGGATCACACAGTTAGATTTAAAAAGCAAGTGCACGTAACATGCTGGGGCTTCTACTTTACTTTTCATTGATATGCTGATTAAATGAAGACAGAGACTGGATGCACAATCTATTTCTTAGTATTCATTGCCTTATCCCATACAGGGAGTGCTGTTGTTGTTCAGTCATCTTTAAGTTATGTTGGACTCTTAATGACCCTACTAGGGGTTTTCTTGGCAGATATACTGGAACAATTTGCCATTTCCTAATCCAGCTCATTTTGCAGAAGAAGAAACTGAAGCAAATAGGGTTAAGTGACTTGCATAAGGTCACAAAGTAAGAAAGTATATGAGGTCAGGTTTGAACTCAGGACAAGTCTTCTTGTCTTGAGCCCTGGCACTCTATCCACTGTGCCACCTAACTGCCCTACACAGGGATTGGCAAGGGGTAATGGTGTTAGTTTTAGCTGGGGAACAAGAGAATGGAAAGTGAAGAGTTCCTATGGACCTGATTTGTTCATCTCTCTTAACTTTAAGATGCTCTACACATTCCTTACACCTGCCCTGCACTCTATGCCCATGCCAGCCTCCTCTGTTTCTCCATCCTGAGTGGCTATCTACAACAGTCAGCCAGAGGAATGTCAGTGAGTTGAGACATCATTAATCAATGAATCAATCAAAAAGCATTGATTAAACTCCTACCATATTCCACACATTATGGTAGGTGTCTGGGGATATAAAGGCAAAAAAGAAAGAAAAAAGAAGAAAAAGTCCCTGCCCTTAAGGAGTTCACATTAATTCTATCAAAGGAAATAACAGGCATATAATATATTATATAAATATATATAATATATATATATATGTATATATATATGTATATATATATGTATATATATATGTATATATATATATGTATATATATATGTATATATATATATATATATACATATATATATATATATATATATATATATATATATGTATATATATATATATATATACACAATTAAATGCCAGGAACTTTTGTGGTGCAGGCACTAATAAATAAACTTTAAAATATTATAGAAAGTCAATTATCATCTGGACTTGTTTATTCAATTACTTTCTTGGCAAAGGCCAGGCCATGGTCCCAATGGTAGCTCTTTTAGAGCTCTATGTACTTTGCCTCCATCTCAGACAACTCCTGTTCTTTCCCATTCCTTTAAAAGTGGCATACTTTATGACATTTGCCCTCTCACACTTTGCTTACTCACTTTTCCTCCTTCCATTATCACTCTAGGGTTGTTCTCTTCCTGCACCCTTCTCCATCCCCCAACCTTCCCTCCTGGCCACATTATTTTACAAAACCTCTTTCACTGCTTCTTAGTGAACAGCATTCTCTCTGTATAAAATAGCTCCTACCTTAACCCATTTCCTCTGGCATATCCAAATTAATTAGGTGAGAATGAAAAAGACCAGTTTAGAATTAACATAATATTTATTAGATGCCCTGGAGAATGGGGAATAAAAATGGAGAGGAACAGGAGAAAAGAGGAAGGTCATGATGCTGGCAGACAATATGGTTATTTTTCTTCCTATTTTCTTTAGAAAATCATGTTAAATAACTGTTCTTGATCACATAACTGATTGGGCATTAGGAACTGATGAGCAAGACAAAAATTCCTGGAATACTTTTGTGTTGTCAGAAACTACTTGGTATAGGTGAGACCTGGAGGTCTTTCTTTATTGAGGAATAAGAGAAAGAAAATATGCACGGTGACAAAGTTTATGTTCTTTGGGTGCTTGGAAGTCACCATAATGACAAAGCCTCTGAATCACAGTCCAAGCAACTATAGCCACAGAGCCATGTCTCTCTCTTTTCAATCATTTAGCTATCAAGTATAGTTCAGCATCTTAGAGCATTGGGATATTCTTTTCAAACTGTTCAGAAAATGTTTGCCACATCCCCTGTTTCCTATTGCTACTACCAATAAAATAGGCATGCCAGAAAAAAAAATCCTTTATGTCTCATTCCACAATTAAAATAGTTATCTCTTACGGAAGTGGCCTAACTTTACCACAGAACCAGGGGGAATATGTAGGGGCTTGGTGATCTAGGAAAAAAAAGATCTTAAATTAAATGTTTTATGCTTCAGAATAAGATGTATTAAGTGGAATGGACCTTAGAGGTTGTTTAATCAAACTATTTTATGACTTATGAAACTAAGGCCCAGGTCATACAGGTAGTAAGTAATACAGCTAGGGTTTGAACTCAAGTCCTCTGGGTCCAAATTCAGTTTATTTTTTTTGGATTTTTTTTGTGTGTTTTTCCCTACTACAACATGCTAAATCTCCTTCCCTATCCTGAATAGCCTCTCTCATGATATATATATATATATATATATATATATATATATATATATATATATATATAATATATATATTATATATATATATATATATATATATACACATATATATATTTTCATGAATCTCCTAGAAAGATGTGCACTTTCTCAGGATGAATACTTTTCATATCTTCCCTAACACTTTATGCACCTTGACTAATTCAGTTCCCTCATACTAACCCCCATCAAAAATTAAAAAATAAATCCACTAGGGTTCAAATTATACATTTCAGCTTTCTATGTAGAGCTAATTAACTGAATGTTATTCAAATCTTCACTTCCTTCTGTATTGTATTTATGTAGAATCAAGTCATTAAAGTTAGCAAATGTAGCTACCAACAGTCTGAGTTCCTGTTAACATCAGGAAGGGGCATCTCATTATAAATTCTGGAGAGGATATTAAAGTAGATGGCGATTGAGTGCTGGGGAATGGTGATTCATAGTCCTCGTTTCTAGAAAGAATGGGATCTGGCCATTCATATTGTCTTCAAGTTCCTGGCCTTTTAAAATTTAGTGACATGTTTTATTTTTAATGTTCCTTTAGTTTCCAAATGTCTTCATCCCTCTCCTCTGTCCACCCCTTCTAACAAACAAAAACAAAAGCAAGCAAACAAGAAAAAGAACAAAGAAAAGTCAGCAAAACTAAAAATCACATTGATTCTGACAGTGTATGCAATATTCCATACCAATAATCCCCCTTCTTGCCTTTAGAGCCAACCTTGGTCATTATAATTGCATAGTATTCAATTTTATTGTATTTCTTTCCATTTAAATTTTGTAGTCATTTTACATATGATTTTTCTTTTCTGGTTCTGCTTGCTTCACTCTGATTCAGTTCATTTGAATCTTTCTATGCTTTTCTGTGTAATATTCCGTTATATTTATGTAGTGCAATTTGTTTAGTCATCCCCCAACTGATGAACATCTGGTACTTTGCAACTACACAAAGTGCTGGTGTACATAGGAATTTTATTCATGTCTTTGATCTTCTTGGGGTATGTGGCATTTCATATGGTCTCTGTGTCAGAATATAGTGATTTCAGTCACTTTTCCAAATTCCAAACTGAATGCCAGAAGGGGAAGTAATTCACAACTTCATCAAAAGTGTGTTACCCTGGCCTTTCTCATCATAGACAGCTGGTAAGTGAATGCCAATGTAGGGAAGAGAAGTTGGTGACCTTAAAGATGATAGAACCAAAGAGCATCAGAGATGGAAGAGATGTTATAGTTCTTCCAGTATGACTCCCTTACTTTAAGAGGAGATTTTTGAGACCCAGAGAAGGGAAATGACTTGTCAACTGTCATACATCAAGTTAGAGGCAGAGCAGGAGCTAGAATCCAGGATACTTTTCAGATGTTGTCTTCTCTTGTTTTCTTTTCATGTATATGTTCTATCTCTTCATCTAAACTGTAAACCCCTGGAGGCTAGGCATATGTATCATTTTATATCACCCATAGATATAGCACAACATCCCAATCACCCAATTCTCAGTAAATTCTTGGTGATTCTCTAGAGCTTATGTAAAGTGGCTACTAAACTGCCATATACAATATTTGCTGTCACCATTCTTCCATATGGCTACCAAAATGATATTCTTAAAGCATGGTTTGGATGATGTCCCTGCTCAAGATGCTCCAGAGGCTAACTATTTTTTCTAAAACCAAATTCACTTTCCTCTGTTTGCCCTTTAAAGACCTTTGTGATCTGGTGCCAGCTTACACTTCCAGTATTATTACACTTAACCCCTCTTCACGTACTGCATAGTCAGTCCAGCCAATCTAGCCTTCCTCCCACACCACATTCCATATCCCATCTCAGTGTCTTTGCCCACACTGTTCCCCATGCGAAGAATGCATTTTCTCTTTTCCTCTGCCTCTTAGAATCCATAGCTTCCTTTAAAACTCAGTGCCAGTGCCACCACTAAATAAAACTTTTACATGCATTATATCTCATTTGTTCTTCACAATAAAATTATGAGGGTTGTTGCTGTTTGTCCTTTGTTCTTGAAGATGACCATGATATCAAGGAGGTGATGCCATTACATGCAAATGAATTGGATTTAACTAAGGGAGAGCTGCACAAAGTCATCAGACTCACTTTCTCCTTCAGAGCCATCTGGGCCCAATGGTAAGATATAGATCAGGACGACTGGACGTGGCCCTGCATGCAGTGTGAGATCTTGGCCTTTAAGTTAAGGTCTTTAATAGGCTTCAGTTTGACCGAGGCAATGCCAATTCAGTGATTAAGGCTAGGTAAGAAATGAGGCAGAGAATGGCCTCTCTATCTGGTCAAAAAAATATCAATCTGAGAGAGAAAGGCCCTCAGGGTTTCTCCAGACATAAAGGACAGCTAGTGCAAAGATATAAAGAAAAGAACTGGAACATGTGTGAGGAAAAGCAAAAAGGCAGACTGTGAGAAAGGAAGCAATGGACACCTTGGGACTAGATTGTAAATGATTTTAATAGTCAAAGAGAAGAGTTTATATTTGCTCCTAAAGGAAGGCAGGAGTCATTGGAGTTTGTTAAATAGAGGAATAATATTTTTAAATATAAGTGTTGGGAAAGTCACTTGAAAAGATCAGTTAAGGGGTGTATTACAATTGTCCAGCCCAAAGACCATGA